AATGACAGGAAGAGTATAGCTTTTAGATTCAAGAGTCAAATCAGAGAAAAAGTTCTTTCCAAATAACTCTGCCCTATTCTGGGGAGAAGTAAAAAGATCAGACCCATGAATAAGAGATTAAATTTTAGACTTATAAGACTAATCGTAGTTTAGACAGTTGGAGAGGTCAAAGTGTTTTCTAGAGTTTTGAAAAATTGGAACTACTTATTTAGCACTTTTTAAAAATTATATATTATTAAATCTGATAATATTAATGCGCTAATTTAATACGTCATTTTCTAGTCTTTTCTATTTTAAAATAGTTTCTAGGCTTTTCTATACGCGGTTTTTTTTTCTAATTTTATTTACTAACAACCCTTATTACAGGTTGCTTACTGCTAGTATTATATAATTAATAAGATCAAATTTTAGGCCTACTTTAGTTAATGACATTGTTGACTACTTTCCAAAAGGCCTGGCTATATTTTATTAAACCTTGCTTCTTATCTGGTCCAATTTCGATTCCAGTTGTTTACTAGTTGCTACTGAGCAAGACCCATCTGACTTAGCTTTTAGCATTTGACCTAGAAGTTGTGCATCTTTTGGATTGCCTACTTGCTTTAAAAGATGAATAGCAGATAAAATTAGCTCTTCTGATGTTCTTGACTCAGCTAGCTCCAGATTTCTAACACCTGATGACTAAAAAATGAGACAACTTTAAAATTGTTATTATTGCCATAGTTACATAGCTATCAAATTTAATTTAAATTAAATTTATAAACAATTATATGATATTTAAAAAAATATATTTATTGGTTTTCAATAACATCATTAAAAGCAATTCGACCTAGACAAATTAAAGTTATTGAGGCATAACGTTTTGCCACTTCCGGATCCATTTTGTTAAGACAATTCCCAGTACGTCATTTGAGTTGAGGAATGCTTGTTGCTTGCCAATTATCTTTGTAGACTAAGCGTTTCAACTGACCCCAAAATGACTCAATTGGTTGAGCCTCTGGTACCTTGGGTGGATTTTTTACCTTTGGCAGGTATTTGATGTTATTGGCATTAAGAAAAGAAACCACTTCATTTGCATAGTGCAAGCTAGCTAAATCTGGCCAGAACAAGTACTCTTCATTTTTATAATGTTCATCAATGAAGGGTATTAACCACTTGCAGAGACATCCAATGTATGGTTGTTTGTTGATTGCCTAGCCACTTTCAAAAAACATTGTTTTTGAAGTCCCTTTGAGCAATATAATCAAAAAGACTAGCACCTTTTCCTTGTACGTCTTCTTTCTTTTGAATTTGACATTGCTAGTTGTAGATGACACATCGCTAGAATAGAAGCCATCGTTGCCAGCCAATGTTGTATTCATGTGAAATAGGATTCGTCATCCAAGACAAAATTGCAAATCCTAAAATTGCGATATATATGCCGACACAAAGATTTGATTCGAGCTAGTTGGCTTTCGCTTCGATGTGGAATCTTTTTTTTTCTTGTAATATCTAATATTTGTCTTGTTTTTAAGAATTTTTGGTATGTACGATTGGTCACAATCGAATCTTTGAGCTACTTGACGGTTCTAAACACCGTGATGATGATCAAATGCCTTTTTCAATTGGTCTATGTGCTTTTTGTCCATTTTTTTTGCCTTTGGAATGCTTTCTTTATTTTGTTGATAGCCTAAATTATTGCCAACACGTTTTAGAGCACGATATATGGTTGCTTTTGATGCTCCTTCATCTAGAAAGTGTTTTACTGTGAACATTTTTGGCTTTTCCAGACGCGAATTTCTAAATTGGCAAATGCGTTTTCTTAGTCTTTTTGTAAACTTGTTTTATACGGAGCCATTTTAATATTTTAAAACTATAATATAATTTTAATAGACTATTAAATTTTCTATAAATATACTAATTTATTTCAATTGCATGATTATGAATAGCATACAATAAATCAATTTAAATTTTGTCTCATTTTTTAGTCATCAGGTGTTATGCCTGGTTTTTGTGCCGGCATTTTCAAATTGCACTTTTGGCCTTCCCATGAAAGTGAAAGTAGCTGAGGGCAGTGGTAGTGATAGTGGCGTTTCTTTGTCTACAGCAAAACAATTCTCATTTAACTAACCCATTAACTTTTTTTCAAATACAGTGTTATTTTTGTATGCCTTCATTTTTTTTTTTTTTTAATATTTAACTTTTGGTAAGTTCATCTAATTTTCCACTACTGATAAAGGACAAATACACTTAAAGTTTGTTACTTAAATTGCTAAAAAGTTGTTTATGAGCTTTAGAGTCAAAAATGCTTATACTATTTTCATGTAAAAAAATGTCTGAAAATATTAACAATAAAATAAAAAATAGCTTGGCTTTTTTTTTAATTTTTTTTTATTTTTAATATTTAAATAATAAAATAAAACTTTTGTTATGCTTATTCCATTATTCATTTATTACAGCTTTAAACAACATTAGCATCCATAATTGTGGCTGAGTATTACCTTGAGCATTCCCTTTTTTATGCGAATACATATAATAAAGGCTAATTAGTTGTGGCTAATTATTCCCTTTCATAATTGTGTCATAATAACATAATTGTGGCTGTGTATTCCCTTTCAAATGTTAAAATGTTATAAAATAGCAATCAGTACTACTGTTATGCAAGAATAATTTAAAAAATTAGGTAAACATAGCAACCAAATAAAAATATGACTTTCATAAAAAGTGTAAATTTCATTTTAATAACGCACAATTAATATAGTATATGTAGCTTGAATAAAAAACTGTTAAGATAGTGTTAATGTAAAAATAAGTTGTTGCTATGTTAAAATAGGTACTATAGCAATCAAATCGTAATCAATGTGTAGCTTAAATACATCTGTCTAGGCCCATAAAACTAATGGTTTTTGCTTCCTTACATGTTAAAGAACAGTTTATGACCAATCATTTGCTGCCCTAGCGCACCCCAAAAAAGAAGCATTTAGTTTGGCACATTTAAGTGATGAAAGTAAGTTTTTATGTTATGTTTATTCTAATATTTATTTATATAGCTTAAAATAACATTAGCATCTATAACTAAATACCTTTTTTAATGTTAAATTGTAATAAAAGGATGAGACTGAATGACAAGTAACACAAGAAAAAATTTTAGTAGTGGCATAAGAGACGCTAGCTCCTTAAAGCAGCGCCCATTATAGTATTTATATAAAAGAGAAAGAGAAGCAACATTATGACAATGTGACAATGGTTGAAGGTTCTATTTATCTAGTTCCTTTGTATTAATCTAGTTTTTTTTCCCACACTTTAACCCTTCCGAACTCTCTTCCAACTTCATGTTTTCCTGACTCATACAATTTACCAATACAATCTTCTAGTCCTCTGTCAACTGTTTCCTCATTTATTAACTCTATTCTTTTTTTTTAGTAAACTCCTAACTTAATGTTGGTTGTTTGCAGTCTTGTTGGGTCATTATCAGAAATATAATCAATCAGAATAATAAAATAAAATAAAAACTTGTAAAGTAATATTAATTTGTTTCTTTTTAATACTCACAATTAATTTATACTTACAAATCTAAAAATATTAACATTAAAACAATAAATAGATTTTATTTAGTAGAAATATTATCATAATTTAAATAAAATAAGTAAATGAAATTTAATAAATAACATTTGTTTTGTTAAAATTAATAACAATTAGTGAAAAGAATCCTGATAGCGGTGTAGCATTAGAGCTCTTGCTTTTATGAAACTTCATAAAAGCTTCACATTTATTCATTTATCAAATATATAATATATCAAATTATGTTTTTCTTTAGGAATTACTAATTCAAAAAGGTTAAGTTTGAGAAAACTTTTTTTGAAGAAGAAGAAGAAGAAATGTTTTCGAGGGTTGTATATATAAGGAAAATTCTGAAAAACTGCAAAGATAAAATATGTATTGTATTGAACTATTGTGAGTGATATAATGATTAATTTATTAAGTTAATGGAATGAAGAATGCTAATTATTTCAAAAATTCAGATTGCATGAGGCTGAACATGCAATTTTCAGCCTTATGAATCTAAACATGTTAATCCTTGTGTAGACACATGTGAGGTGTATACTATAACAAAAATACTAAGCTAGCAAGAGAATCTTACTGAAGTAACGCCTGAAATAAATTTATTAATAGCACTGTATTGCAACCTTAAAAAATTAGGTTTGCTAATTAGCAATTATTTCCTAGCTACTTATTTGACAGAGTCTGTGGTCAACAATTTTTTGTTAGCCTTATTTCTATGATGTTAGCCTCATTTCTAGCCTTTCTATTCATTTCTAGTCATTCTATTCAATTTCTATTCATTTATAGTCAGCATAGTGTGTGCGCCATCTTACATTTTTTCAAGTTGTTTGAAATTAATATCAATGTACTAGATATTTGCAACTGTTTTATACCTATATGTTACTTATCACAAATAACAAAACTTATAATTTAGTTAAATGAGGAAAATGTTTTGAGATAAAAAGTTTAAAAAATTTTTTAAAGCTTAGAGTTTCTATAAATCATAAATCAAAATTTGATTAAAGTGATGTTTGTTTTTTAGTCATTTTGGGGAGTATTTGTTTTTTAGTCATTTTGGGGAGTATTTGTTGTTAATGAGGACTTTAGTTATAGTGCGTAATATACTTAAAACTTATATATTTTATCTTAATTATTATATGTTAGTTTCCTTTTAATAATGGAAACCATTGATTTCTGTTGTAACTTAGACCAGGAACTAAGTAGAATTAGATAATATTTGTGAGCATTTTTTTTTTTTTTTTTTTTGTAAAAGTTTGCTCCACCCTCATGTATTATTTAAATAACAAAATATCAGTGTAAAAAGTTGTTCACCCTCCTGTCAGGTGTCACCCACATTTAGGGGAACACCCTGTTCATGATCACACAACTTTTATAAGCATGGAATGTTTTTATAAGCATAAAATTTGCATAGATGTATAATTAATAATAATTCACTTTATTTAGCCTTTTTTTTTACTTAGCCACCAAAAACTTTCTAATGGTTACTTTGCTTGGAGAGAGTTTGTCCCCTAGTACTGATATGGAAAGAAAAGATATGGCTGACAAGTTAGAAGAAATGATCAAAAAGCTGCAAATGAGTATCAATAACATGCCAAGATCAAATTTACAACCAATAAAAAGTAAGTTTTTTTATTTGTCTTTTAAAAGAATTTGATTTATATAACATTAATTTCAAAATTGTTAAGTATAATGATAAATTTTTTTATTTATTATGTTTGCAATATGTGGTACTCCATAACAACTTGATGCACATAAATTAATTATGCACTTAAATTAAGTTAATATAAATTTTTTTTTTTTTTTTACATATTTAAAAAGATTAAATTTTTTTTGTTTTTTGTTATTAAGAAAAAAAATTAATTAAAAAAAAAAATAGAATTAAAATAATAATTAAATTAAAACCAAACTTAGAAAGTGAAAAAAAAGGCCTTTCTTTTTTACTTTATTATATGCATTCACATAATTCCTACTGCTAAATAAAAAGTTAATGTAATCACATAGATTTTTGGCAAATAAGTTTCATACAACAATAAATTTTTTGGGCACACTGGTCTAAAATTCCTGTCTACGTTTAGAGGACCTTTTTTTTTTCTTTTTTTTTTTATCAGAACACAAATTTAAAAGATTTATATATAATATACCTCACCATAGTGTTTTATGTTTTTCCAAATGAAAATATAAATAATTAATCAAAATGATGCTATATTTATTACAACATGAAGGCTTTAACATTTTGCTGCTATTTTTCATTTACATGCTTTATTTGTTTACTAATATAAAGATTAAAATCAAATTTATTTCTTATTGCTTCTCCCATGAGTACCCTTTGCGGATACCCGCGACAGAGAAGCGATAACTATAATATTTAATAAGCAATATTTGTATGTTTCTTTTATATAGACTAAAAGGATTTATTGTATAGCGTATTCATTGCATAACAAGATCAATTCATACAAAATTTAATTCATTCATTCAAAAATTAACTTTTTTTTGTTCTTCTCTTACTTTTCAAATCAAGTTTTTAAGCCTGATTTTTGTAATATGTTTTAGAAAACTTTTATTTATTTTATTATTAAAAATAATGCAATAATTTCATCTATGTAAACTCGAAATAGGCATTTTAAATGGCTTGAATTACATTGAAAATTTTGAAGAATAATGAGCCTAATTAGTTTTTAATTAAAAATTTTGATATTTTTATGCACAATGGTGCCATAAACCATCAGGCAAAAGTTGTCAAATCATGATTCCAAGAAAATGTGGTTAAAGTTCTTGCCCCATGGCAGGCTAATTTACCAGATTTGTTTTTGAAAACTGTTAAATAATATTTTAAGTCTTTCTCAAAACAAAACAAAAGCTAGATCTGAGAAAAATGAAAGCATGATAAAAATATTCTCTCGTTGCCTCAATACCGTAAAGATTATCAGTTACTCTAAAAGTTTAAGGAGCCCACATAAAGTACTAAAACATGTTTTATGCTCTGACTTTTTTGTTTCTTTATGTTCATGTTTGTTATTTTTTGAATTAATTTTAATGTTATTGTTAATTAATTAGTCATAATTAACTTTCCAATGAACAAAAAAATTGGTTGGTAAAATTGCCAAGTAAAAAACAAATCTGTTATACATTAATATTGAATTTAATGCTGTCATTACCCATTTGTGAGTGTTTGACATGGAATTCATGACAGCTATTACACCCAAATTAATGGCAAAAAAAAAAAGTAGCACTTTTTTCATAAGAAAATGTTTTTTTATATGCAAATGCCTAACATATGTAAACTTTTAATTATGTAATGTTAAAAATTTTATCAAGTTTTACAGTTTTACGTTAACTTGAAAATTGCAGCATTGCAGCAATATCTCCCTAATTTTGATTTATATTATTTATTTGCCATTTTGTAAAGTCATACCGTTTTTTGTTTATTAAATAGTGCTAAAAATTGTTACATTAGTGTGCCTGAGTTGCAGAAGTTGTTTTTTTTCTGATGTACAATGCAGGGGTTCAGACCCTGTCGCTTGCACATTTAATTTTTGATGAAAAAGTATTATTTTTTGATGATTACATGTTACTTTTTTTTTTTTTTTTTTTTTTTTTTTTTAGGTGTTGCCATAGATAAAGAAAAACCCCAAGAGGATGAAGAATATGAAGTCTTAGGTATTATGGTTGTATTAAATCGATATGAATTTAAGATTTTACAACAATTCTACTTTTTTTTATTTATTTGTTTTCCATTTATATAATTAAAATTGCTAATACATGTCTTAAAAGTATAAAATAAAAATACAATAAAATAACCCAAGAATTAAATATATTAAAGTATTTTTTATTTTGTATATATATATATATATATATATATATATATATATATATATATATATATATATATATATATATATATTAAAATACTGTAGAGGTTTTATGAACAATTTGTGTGTGCAATTTTTTAGAGGTTTTTAATTGAAGATTTTGTTTCAGGTTTGTTTCTTCACCTTCCAGACATGAGATGAGAAACTGTTGAAAACTAATTAAAAAGTGTCTATTTTTATTTTTTTGACCTTTTTTCTAAAACTGTATAATGTTCCAAAAATGAGGCATTTGGAACATTTTACAAAAAAAGTTTTTAAAAAAAAAGGGAAAAAACTTTTTACAGTTGTATATTTTGGGTGCCATAATATATTTTGTTAAAATTTAAAATCTTATTAATAATTATAATATATTTAAGATAAAGCCTTTTATTTTTCAAAAATTGATTTTTTTTTATCCCAAAGGATTACTGGAGACATTTTGAGAGTACTCTCAAATCATTTAGTGTGTGCTTCAAGTCAATGGTTTTTATTAATTAAAAGCTTCTAACAAAAAATTGGCACGTCAAAATTCAGATTTATTAGTGTCAATTAATTTTGTCAATTGTCTGATAATTTGTTTAAATAATCAGACAAATTAGAAGATGACTTGTTCGAATATTGGTTTAAAAGATTAAAGTAATATATATTTTAAAATTGTTATTAAAGTAACTAGTTATTATTACTATAGATTTTATATTATGTATTTAATACATTGTTTTTATAATAATTTTAAAAACAATTTATACACAAATGTGTTATTATTATTTGTTTTGTTCACAAAAGAAGAGTAGTTTATTGATTCAACTGATCCAAAGACTTTGTTGATCCTGGATTCAATTTCAAAAAATTCAAAAAAAGATGTAGAGGTTTCTTATTTATATATAAGTTGAATGATTGTCATCAAGTTAAAAGTTTGGAAGAGTGAGACAAAAAGATTGCTCAATTGCTCTTGCTGACTTTTTTAATTTATGTTAAAAAATTTTGAATAAAAAAAGATGTTTATTTTGCACCAAGTTATCAATTAGACCAAAAGTTATCAAATTTTATCACTCTTGCAACAAAAAACATCTGTTCAAAATCTTCATGCTTTAATTAATTCATGTGTTATTGCTTCTGTGCAAAAAGAAAAATCGGTTGTTTGTGACAATACAAATGTAAAACATGAAAAAAAAGGAAACTTTCTGTTAAAGTTTATAGTCACTAATCACTTATGAGGTAGATAAAATATTAGGGAGATAATCACTTATAAGACAGATTTAAAAGATAAAATCATAAGGATCTTCAAAATAAATTATGATCTTTTAGGTTGTGCAATATTACGACTAATTAAGGAGATAAAAATAAATCTCAAGTTTTTAATAACACCATTGCTGATGTTGTGAACAGTTAAAACTACTTTGATTGGTTTTTGTTTTTTTTATAAATATAGGGAATTATAATTATAAATATTTTTTATAAATATAGCACTGAAAATTACTTATTACTGTTATAACAGGCGAATGGATGAGAAAGGAATCCAAGGACTTTTGGATCATGACAAATAAATTTGGAAAGTAAAATAGCAAACCTCATAGGCAGATCCAGTATTACAAAAAGCTAATGGTTACAATTTTATATTATATGAAATTTTATCAAAGCATTTTGCCCTGCAGTTGCAGGGATCTCTAGTTTTTTTCTCTCCTGGGTACAGGAGATGTCAGGATCCTGGGTACAGAAGATGGTCCTGGTAGTTGACTATTATAATACTATTACACTATAATTCATGACAGGGGATAAGCATTAAAATATTTTAACAAATTAAATTTCAAAAACATCAAAAAAAAAAGCTTAAAGACAAACAAGAACAACTGCTGCTTGATACAATCAAAGTACAAAATTCATCTGGTGGAAAACAGAGATAACTCCTGCGTTTCCTTTTTTTTTTTAGCACCAATTGAATGTAGGGAACATATATTATTCTGTCAAATCCTGCATTAAATGACATAAGAAGTACTCAAATCTAATTTTATTTTTGACCAATTGGTAGAGCTTAGTTTTTTTTCTAACAAACCATTTAAAGCTGAAAAATCAACTAAAAGTTGAGTTACATTGTTTTTCATCGAGATCTTCAGTTGCGCTGAGAATGAAGAAGAGAAGATTAAAATGTTATTAAAATGTTTCAAAAACCCAGAAATTGATTTTTATAATATTTAAAATATTAATTACTGCATTTCATTTGACTGATTTTTTGATTCAGCTTTTTTGCACTTTAAATATGCTATTGTCGAATGGAAGGAAAGATACAACTTTTTGCATTAATGTTCATTAAAATGATTTGTAAATGTTCATTAAAATGTTTTGCAAAAGAGAACAGCGGTTAAAGTCAAGGAAGAAAAACAAAAATACCCAGTAACCCCCTGGTTAAGGGAGAGAAAAAAAAGTTATATAAACTTTAATTTTTATTTTTTTAATATGTTTTTAGAAAAGTTTTAAAAAAGTAACTAAAAATAAAAAGTAAAAAATAAACTAAAGGTCGCTATTACTGATGACTTCATTAAATGTGTTTTAAATTTGTGAAATCAGTGACCTATTATTTGCAACTTAATCCACATTTATTGATATATATGAATGATAGAATGATATGAATGTAGGAGTGTAGTATCCACTTTGTAAGCATTAAGTTCCAAATTTGATCTTCACCATGTCCCTGGCAATACTGCTTAACTAGTTTCTCTCTCTATCTTTTTTGTCAAGTAACTACAATTTACAATAAGTAATAATAATAATAATTAGTTCATAAATTAACATTATTTACAACTATTATATATATATATTGTTTCTATTTTTAAATTTAAGTATCTATTTTTTCCAATAAATTGTTAAAAACATTTTTTACATAAAGAGTAACAAAAACGGTTTAAATTTTCTTGTTATAAGCTTTTATCATAAAGATGTTGTGTGACCATTTTGTAAAGTTATATTTTTGGAATGTAACCACATACATTAAATATGATTTTAAATATTTTTTAAAATGCATTTATAGTTTATTTGTTTCTAGTTTATAGTTCATTTTTTCATTCATTTGCTTTAGTTTTATCATAGCAATGTTGCCCCCTGATTTCCTAACTCATGATGGTTGCTACTCAAACAAGCGCATTATTTTTTTGTGATCTAATACAAAATTCTTTAAATTTTCTGTAATCCCTTTCTCTATTTTTTTTGTAACTCTTATTTTAATTTATGTTTTATAGGTATTAGTATTTCTCTTTTTTTTTTTTTTCTGTATTTAAAGTTCTGTTATGCATTAGGTCTAGCCAAATACACCATTAAACAAAGTATTTCCAAGTACACCATCACACAAAATGTTGTCTTATACTTGTATCTAATATACCTTTAAACAATTTTGGGTTTTAATACTTTCATTCATTAAAAAGCTAATTTTATATAATTAATTATTAATTTTTTGATTTTCTTAGATAATATTTCAAAGACTAATCCTACTAATGAATCTCATCCCATCAAAGATACTGACCGAAATAAATGCAAATCTATAGTTTCTGCAATAAAAGAGCTATTAGTTACTGGTCTGTATTTTTGTTATGAAATCTTATGTTAAATATCATTAGCAACCTTCACAAAATTATTAGAAGATTTATTTAATATATGAAAAAAAGTAAAAAAAAAATCATGTTAATATATATATAAATTATATTTGTAGTTATAAATTTAAATTATTTTTTAAAAAATTTAAGTTAAAAAATATATATATATTTTATTTATAGTATGTGAGATATTTATTGTTAACAAATTTATATTACTAGTTTGAAATATTATGAGCAAATAACTGGTGATGCATGAGTTATTGGATAAAATAAAAACTTTCACATCTTGTTAGCAAATAAAAATAAAAATTTTGACAATATTTTTCTAAAAAGTATTTATGTTTGAATAAAAATCAATTATTTCTTAATTTAAAAATATTCTTTGACACTTTTTATAAACAACTATAAAAAATTCAAATCAATTTATTTTAGTTCAATTTGATGCAATTAAGATCTTCTCTTTTGAAGCTAGCCAACCTCCCTTGTAAAACTTTTGATCTAAATGCCCCCAAAAGTTCTCTTTTGGTTGTGCTTGCAATCGTGTTGCAAATGAAGTAAATTTAGCAAATCTTTTGAGTGATTAAAATTTGCTAAATCCAAAATAATTAAAGCTGCCATGATACTTGTGAATGAATGGAAGAAGTCATATTTCTAAACATTCATCAACATAAATTAGTCTATGGATACTTACAGCCTTAGAAGTATGAAGCAATTATTCAGACCTACCTTTTTTTTTTCTTTTTTTTTTTTATATATAATTATTCACCTCCCCAAGGCCCGAGGGGGCCACTACAGTTGAGGAGGCTACTCTTTTTTTTTTGTTTTGTTTTTTTTTTGTTTTTGTTGTAAATCGTGGTACAACCCTCTCTCAACTCTTTAACTCCGAAACACGAACCTTGACAAGCAAAACCGCCGCGCAGATAAATTAAATTGAGCGCGGTACTTCCAGGGACGTGGTGTGAGTCGAACTCTGAACCTCTTGCTTACAAAGCGAGCGCTCTTACCAATACACCACTACCGCATGTTACATACAGCACATTAATAACATTTTTGGAAATTTCTCTTTCTAGTTATATTTCTTTGATGTTTATATATTATTTGCAAGCAAATTAACACCTGCAAATTACCACCTGCAAAACAAAAGTCTTTTTCATCATTGATGACTAAAAGGGGTTTTGTATCATGAAGCCGCTTAACAAGTTTTCTGCTTGTTTTTTTGTTTCTATTTGTCATTTATGGTGCATTTGGTGCATTCATGTTTTTTGTATTAAATAATCTTTTTTTTTTTTAATTGACAACCAAGCGTCAATTGTTTTACAGTGAATTTAAGCCCAATTTTCTATGACTATTTCTACTACTGTTGACAAGTCTTTTTAGCTTTTCTCTGATGCTGCTTAGCTTTCTTTTTTCTGATGTTGCTTAGCTTTCTTTTCTCTGATGTTGCTTAGCTTTCTTTTCTCTGATGTTGCTTAGCTTTCTTTTCTCTGATGTTGCTTAGCTTTCTTTTCTCTGATGTTGCTTAGCTTTCTTTTCTCTGATGTTGCTTAGCTTTCTTTTCTCTGATGTTGCTTAGCTTTCTTTTCTCTGATGTTGCTTAGCTTTCTTTTCTCTGATAAACTGGCCATTCATTTTTTGATAAAAAACATTCAGGTTGGATTACCTGAATGTTTTTTATCAAAAAATGAATGGCCAGTTTAAAGTTTTTTTTGTATTTCATGCTGTTCATTTTTGTTTGTGTTGATTAACGATTTCTTTTTTTTATATATATTATGGTTTTTTACAAAAAATAAAACCTAAAATTTCCAAATCTTTTAATGATAATAATATAAAAAAATAATGTTTAAAGTAAATTAGAAATAATTATCATGTTTATGATAAAAATTTTAAATTAACCTTTAAAAATTGTTAAGTAAATATTTCGCCAGTGTAATGTTTATTGAGAAAAACTGTGCTGTTTATGATGCTCTTACGGTGTAATTTTTATTAAGAAATTTCTGTGGGTTATGACGTTCTCTCATGGTGGTGGCATCCTTAAGATGTATGGTGCAGATGGTGGTGGGATGATTAAGATGTATGGTGCAGCAAAACAGTTTTTGTAATTCCTTCTAGTCCTTGTTTATATTTTAAAAAACTAATAGTTTAAATAATAATTTTTATCTACAGGGAGAACAGAATTTAATCGTACAAAGTAATTTTTCAATAAAATTAACACCTTTGAATAAAATATATCATGCACTAATTATATAGACTTTTCTCCAATTTTTTATTTGTTAAAAGACTATCAAAAAAAAAGTAAAATTTTTCTTTAAGTATTTAAATTACATGATTAGGAATTTTAAAATAAAGAAGCAGATAAAAACACATGCACATAAAATAATTGTACAAAAAAAGCGTTATAGGTTAAAGCTAAGAAAAAATACCAGTTTATTAAAATAACTGAGAAACAGTTTCAAGTTTTTATATTTTAATAATATACTTTAATATTTAGTTGGTCCGTCCTTTTGCTTTAATTACATATAACAAGCGTTTTGGCATTGATTCTACTAGACACTTAATTTGATTATTGTCAGTGTTAGACCATGATTTAACAACAGCTTTCATCAAATCTTCTTTTTTTATAAATGATCTAGTACCTAATTTTTTATCTAATAAAGCCCATTAATGCTCTATTGGATTCAAATCAGGGCTCTGCAAAAGCCATTCTAAAACATTTATGCCATTTTTGTCGAGAAAGCTTTTAGTTTTTTTAGCAGTGTGTTTTGGATCATTGTCTTGTTGAAACAAAAAAGTATTTCCCAATCTGAACTTTTTAGCAGAAGATTTTAAATTTCGTTTCAATATATTTTTATACAAATCAGCATTCATAGTTTTATCAATAAACTCAAGTTTACCAACACTATTTCATGCCATACAACCCCATAACACTACACTTCCACCGCCATGTTTAACTGTTCCTCACGTGCAACTTAAATGAAAAGCTTCACCCCTCTTTTGCCAAACTCTTTGTGCACCATCAGATTTTTTTAAGTTAAACTTGGATTCATCAGACAAAAGAACTTTTTTCCAAAATGATACAGGCATTAAATAATAATTTTTTGCAAAGTTCATTCTTCTTTTCATATGATTTTTTGTTAAAAGTGTTTTTTTACGAGCTATACATCCACTGAACCCTGCTTTATGAATCCTATTTCTTATTGATGTAAGTGAGTGTGTTTCCTGTTAAGTGTTTCAAATGATTTGCTATATATTTTGCAGTTTCAAACCGATTTTTTTTTATCATTCTTAAAATTTCTCTATCGTCTCTTGAACTTGTCTTCCGTTTTCGCCCTCGTCCAGTATGAATTTTCATATTGTTTTCATAAATGTTTCATATTGTTGGTATTTCTTTACAATGGCTCCTACTGGTGTAAATGGAACATTTGTAAGTTCTTCAACTTTTCTATAAGTATTTCCTTGTTTAACCAAGTTTATAACAAGTTTTCGTTGAGTAGTATTTAAATATTTACCTTTGGGTGCCATACAGTACAATAAACAGAGTTTTTAATGTCTTTTTCTTCCAAAATTTTATTAATTGCTAAAAATAATGTTCTTTAAATACAAAGTCAACGATAAAATTGATGTTTTATAAATTAAAAAAATTATAAACATTCATTTTCATAACAAATTACCAATAAAACAGTTTTGTACAATTAATTTATGTGCATGCAAATTAATACCTGTTTGAGAAAAAAAGCAAAAATTGTATAGTAAACACATTTTCTTATGTATTTACTGAAAAATTATAAATAAGTAATAGTCATAATAAATTAAAAAAAAAATGTTTTAATTATTATCAATATTATTCAAGTTAAAAACAAGTTTTAGCAAAATAAAATGGAAAAATTACTTTGTACGAATAAATTCTGTTCTTTCTATATAAATTAATAGTTTATTAATTAAAAATAATATAAATATTTCTCGCTGCGCAATACCATTCACAACATATCATTTTAGATCCACTTTCTTATGAATAAGATTTGAATCAAAACTCATTAAAATTTGTGTGTTTTTGTTTTTTAAAACATATTTTTTAGGAAGTGCAAGTAACCAGACCAGATAGCATGAAAGACTATTGTTTTTTCATTATGAACTTTCTTTGATAACTGTATATGTTTAGATAATGTTACAAAAACACCATCAATCAATTCACCTTCCCAAAACTCAATTCTATCTTATGAAGATCTTAAACAAAAAGTTAGTGAATACCAACATTATTCTATATCAAAGTTAAAAGAAGGATCCACTGCTTCAGGTTTTTTATTTATCAACAGTAATGTTTAATAAATAATAATTAAATAAGTATTATATGTTTATTAAAATTACATGATTATAATGAGTTCATAAGAAACTGTTGATTCAAAGTTGATTTAAATTTGTTTTTAATCAAATTTATAGATGATTATTTTGTAAGGTGAAGTAACAAATTGTAAAATATAAAATTATTATACTAGAGTTTTATATAATGTTTTATGTTGGTGTTCATAAAAATATGTAATCATAAAATATTTGTTTATAATAATATATATTTAAAAAAAGCCTCTAAAAATTGTTATTGTAAATGTGTAACACATTGCAAAATTTTGATGTTTGTTTTTTTATTATGTATTCGCATTAAAGAACAGAAGTAAAACCTTTAGCTTAAGCCTTTTTACGGGGGTTCATCATAGTGCCTATCCTCAAAGGCACTATTTTTTCAAAAAAAAAAAGTTAGCAAAACTTACATAAACTAATTACACAAACTAAGGAAATAAGGACCACAGGCAATAGATCATATTGTAATTATTTCTCAAGTTTTCCTAAACTTATATTTTGTTATTTAAAAAAAAATATCCATTTAGTTAAAAATATTTATAAAAGTGTTTAAACGCATTTAAAGGACAAAAAATATTTTTTTGGATAAATTATATGTTTATATTTCAGGATACTTATTGAAGCACAAGAATCGAAGATTCACAATTGCTTGGCACAAACGATATTGCATTCTTAAAGAATATTTTATATTTTACTTTAAATCTGAAACTGATTTTAAAGAACTTGGTGTTATCATATTGCCAGGATACACTTTAACTTTATCTGCTAAAGAAAAAGGTCATATATTTATTTTGGAAGCAAAGGAAAAAGGAAGAGATTCATATACTGTAAAATTTATATTAGTATATTTTAAATATATTTTAAATTATATTACATTGATATATTAATCATAAATAAATTTACATCAGTGTACATTCGTTTTAACTATTTTTCAAGTTCCAAGCTGATAGTCGTGATGATTTTGAAAAATGGCGCAAAAGTATTCTAGCAATAACCAACAAAGAATGGTCAAACGAACAGTTAAATGCTGTAGAGAAAGTGGCAACTGATAATGTTGATAAAGATGATGATAATGATAGTGGTAAGATGATGATAATGATAGTGGTAACATTATGATAATGATAGTGGTAAGATGATAGTGATAGTGGTAAGATGATGATAATGATAGTGGTAAGATGATGATAATGATAGTGGTATGATGATGATAATGATAGTTGTAAGATGATGATAATTATAGTGGTAAGATGATGATAATGATAGTGGTAAGATGATGATGATGATAGTGATAAGATGATGATAATGATAGTGGTAAGATGATGATGATGATGATGATAGTGGTAAGATGATGATAATGATAGTGGTAAGATGATGATAATGATAGTGGTAAGATGATGATAATGATAGTGGTAATTTTCATCTAATTCAATTAGTAATGGTAATTTAAAACGTTTTAACGTAATTTTTTCTTTTGAATTTTTAGCTAATTGTGACGGTTCGTTCAGTAATCCGTCATTTTCACAACAAGTTCAACCAGGTTAAATTTGTATCACTTATTGTTGTTGTTTTGTTTTTTTATGTGTGTGTATTATATATATATATATATATATATATATATATATATATATATGTATATATATATATATATATATATATATATATATATATATATATATATATATATATATATATATATATATATATATGTATATATAATTTTTTTTTTACAACTTTTTTTGTTATTTTTATTAATATAGTATAATTGAAATACAAATGCTAATTGCAATTTTTTAAAGTTTAAAAGAGTTGTTACACTTTGATGATGGACTCCTTTCTGATGATCATTATCATCATCATCATGATTATGATGATTATTTATTTATAGAAAAAGGATTTTCTATTAACAATGTGTGGATTGGAATGTTTGATTGTGATGGCGAATCTTCTCAAGATCTTTCTTTTAAACGAGGCGACATTATATACATTTATGCCGAAATCGATATTAATTGGAGTATGGGTTATTCAAATGGTAAAACGGGACTGGTCCCTAACAATTATTTAACCGATGCATTTCAATAATTATTTTCGTTTACATTATGTTTTTTTATAATTTATGTTTTGTAATTTTCTTCATACCTTGAAATTTTGTTTAAACTTTTTTTTATTTTAAAATGTTGGATAAATATTTTTTTTAAGAGTGAACAAAAATTTTTTTTTTAAACGCCCTTAACTATTTAAACGCCCTAAATTATTATAAAACTTGAAGTTTAATTAAAATTTATTTATGTTCTTAAATATGCACATCAAAAGTTTTGCTCAAACAAAAATACTTCTAATATGCTCTCAAATTTTAAGTTAACTGTCAATACAACTGGTTTTTATTTTTATTTTTTGTCGTGGAGTTTATATAATAAATATATTTTTATTTTTTTAAATTAAATGTATATTTTATAAAGTTTTAATAACGATAATAGAATGAGTAAATTTACAGTAATTATAGTGGTGCAGCTCCCCCTCTTGTCTCTGGCACTTCTGGTAAAGTCAGGGGACTAGAGGTACTAAAGCCAAATTTAATTTATTTTTCTTTGGAAATTTATACATTAATAAAATTTTTTGATTTAAATTATTTTTTTTTTCGCCTCGCCATACATCCACCCTCAACTGTAAGATAGACCGCTTTTATTTGCTTTTGGACTAAAATAAAATATAACAATTTTTTGCACATAAAAATTTTAAATTTAAATAAAAAAAATGTTTATCATAGAGAATTATTATTTTTTAGATAGTAAAAATGGTGGCTTGGTCCCCCCTCTAACCGCCTGGATATACCCGGTGGACAGGGTACATTTTAAATTTGTAGCTCTCCTACATTTATCTTTTGATACTAAATTATAAACCTTTAGATAAGAATTAACGAATTTATAACAATTTATGTAAAAAAAAACTTAGTTTTGACCACAGTTTTTTTGGTCATAATTTCTAAAATAAAATTATTTATACCCTTAATTTTAGTGAATGACATATACATTTATAAATTTCAAAGCTATAGCACAATTCTTTTATGAAATATATTGTTTGAAGGTAAAAGCAAAAATCAGAAAAACACATCTTTGAAAAAAGCGCTAAACAATACAAAAATTCATAAAAACCATAATTTAAAATTTAATATCAACCAGGAAGATAAGGATCTATTCTTTTTCATTTTGAATGTCTATACATCTTTTCTTAATCTTCCTGATTGTTCTTCATTTTTAACCATCAACTAATGTTTTCTTTTTCGACATTCGAAAACTTATTCTATTTTTATGAACTGAACCATTTTAAAAACATACTTTCATTAAAATTAAAGTGATTGCGATTGCTTGTTCTGACATTATATGCACATCAATACATTTGTCATTATGACAAGCTGTAACATTGCTACATGCTATTGTTTCTCAGTGAAAGCTATTAAAATTCCACCATTTATTTGAAACACATCAGGCCGTTGTAGTTCTGAGAAAAGAAAAGATATATTTTAGCTTTAATTAATTACCATATTCGGATAGATGTACAGTGTTGAGTAGTGAAATTCTCCGCGAGAAGATTATCTTAAGTTATTTGAATTAGCTATTATCTATCTTGGGGGAAACTATCAATGGACAGAATATTCAAAATTCACAAACCAGGTGCAATTCACAATCCAAGATTTATGTCACATTATATATATATATATATATATATATATATATATATATATATATATATATATATATATATATATATATATATATATATATATATATATATATATATATATAGGGGAAGTGCGGGCATAACCGCATATGGAGGCAGAACCGTTTTTTAACATTTCTCTTCAAAAAATGTTATCTAATATGGCAAAAAAACATACCACGCGTTAGTAAAACAGTTTCCTTCATTTTGCATATGTCAAAAAGAGTGACTGTTAAGTTTCTGAGAAGTTGTAAATAATAATTTTTATTTTGATAAAAATATTATATTTACATCATATTTTTCCTGACCTTCTTTTTGAGAATTAAGCAATATTTAACTTTAGTGTTAAAAGTATGTGTTATCAGCATTATTTCATGAAGTGAAAGTCATTTTTGATAATACCATAATCTAATAATTAATCTATGAAACTGAATTCTTTCTAAAAACTCTCTTCTGGGGTAGAACTCGCTTCTGGGGCAGAACTCAAAATGTACACACAAAGAATGCCTGCACAATATGCAAACACGCAACAAAATCATCAAATCATCTGAGCTGTGAAAATTGTAAAAAAAATATACCATGAAAGGTGTAGCCCCATCGATTTTTTTGAGGGTGCGGTTGTGCCTCACAATGGGGGCAAAACCGTTTTTTTCACTAAGTGTAATTTTTGTGTAATAACATTTTCAAAACCTGTTTAACTTTTTTCTTAAATTAGAACTGATAAACAACCAGGAATGGCTCAAGATGAATCCACAAGAGTGAAAATTTTTCCAAGATTATCGAATTGCAGAAAATTTTGTTAAATAATTAGAGGTAACAAATGATTGCGCCGAAAGAGGAATCAAACTTATTGGTGATTTTCGCGAGTGTGTGCAAAATGAAGAACAACGACAATTTATTTTGCAAGTTGTTGAACATCACAGAATTCAAAACCCATCCTATTTGAAATCAAAACCTCATTAATACTTTATAGTATTTTTTATATTACTACTATCTTCTTTATTAATTGTTATTCTTAGAAAAGCTGAAGCCCAAAGTTGAATTATTTTTTTTAAGATATAAAAAAAAATAAAAAGTTTTTTAGCTTTTTATTTTAATACCTTGGCGACCGGCGACATTGACCAATTTTTCTAAAAATTTTATCAAATGTTCATCTAATAACCTTTGATATATATTCCCTGCAACGTAACATAAAATTAATTATTTTTCAAGTTATTCAAGTTTAAAGTTGAAAAAAGTGTAAAAAACGCTATTTTTTCAAGATGGCGACCTCTAAATGACATTTTAAAATTTTGAAAATTTTTTATACTTTTATTTGGCACATTATTTACCCCGTTATGCATGTAACGTAACTATTTTCGAAAAATTGTCGGAAATAAAACACCCTACTGTAACAACACTATTTATTGAAACATGTCCACGTTTTTGCCATGTGCCATCAATTGAAACACAACAAGTTCCAGAACTCATAATCATTTTACCTACATCACATTGATCAAATGCTAACTGTGCTGCTTTTTCCATGCTTTTATTTGCAGCTGTATAATAAGTTGATGAAGTTCTTAATTGAAATTACTATAAATTGGTTCAGATAACATATTCATGCATCATGTAAAATTGGTAATCACTTCGTTTCCTTTTCCTATTTCTCTAAATGCTATAAAAACCCTTACATTTGCATTGAATAAATCTCTCCCTTGAGTTTTAGTACTTGGCGAACATTCTTTAGAAGTGAAAAAACTAAGATTAGCTTGACAATTGTAATAATAGTATATATAATACATAATAAAATTCATTTGGAACAAACTATAATAATATACACAATAATAATTTGGAAGCTAGTCGTATGCGTGAACTAAGTTTGTTCCATAGTGTTAGGTCTTTAGAGCCACCTTCAGAACATATGGCTGTCTGCTCTATGAACTTTTTTTAGCGATTGAAAGTCAATTGAAATTAAATAATTGTTTTCATTTGTAAATGAAATTTTTGTTGCCATTTTCACTTCTCTTAGAAAAATTTTTAATTTGGAAAGCTTGCAACATTTTCTAAAACTTTTCTTAGCTGCGTGCTGATTATTTATAAATTTACATTTTCTTTTCTTTCTTTGACAATTGGATGGATTTCCCCAAAATTAATTCTATATTAATTTAAAATAATTTAATAACTCTTGAAACTTGCTTACTTTACGTACGTATAGGTTCTGAACATTTGTTGCATAGTTATGTATTCAGAGTAGAAAAAGAGAGAGAAAAATTGTAATGACTGCAAACTCCTCGTTTATCTAAAAATCAAAAGTATTAAAGTACAAAATTAGAAGGTTATTATTCCAGAAATTTTATGATTAGTAACAACTTTCTTTTTAATTTATTTTAAACCATCCATGAAATTTCATATTAAACTAGGACAACATATTTAATTTATTATTTATAAAAACAAAGTAATTTTTTGTTTTTCTTTATAATTATAGATTTAATTAAAGAATAAAAAAGACTTATTAATATTAAATCTCAGATATACAGAAAATTCAGATGAGTTTGTTGTTGGCTCATTGTCATCAATGTTTGTTAAGTACTACAATTTTCGAACTCTACAAAATTTTAATGAATAGAGCAGCCGTGGCGCAGTCGAAAGGAACTTTCCTCAAACACAAAGAATCCGTGGTTCAAACCACGGATTCTTTGTGTTTGAGAAACTTTGTGAGTACGCTTTTATCCATATTTATCAATCCTTTTAAGCTGGGATTATTTGGGCTAAAAAATTAAACATTTTACACTAAAACATAATATATTTTTTTCTTTTAATTTAGTTATAGGCTTACTCACATTAAACAACTTTTCATAAAATATTTTTTTACAACTATAAACTTTAAAACACGCTTTGCTTTTCTGTAGTAGATACCTTATCTCAGCTTTTTAACTGTTTTCAATCCTCCTTTTGTATAGTTACTTTTGTATAGTTACTTTATAATTCTATGACTTAAACTTAAAATATGAATTATATATAACTCACTTATGCTACATTATCTCTGCAAGGCCGGCACAATGGGTGTGTGTATGTGTGTGCGTTTGTTCGTGTGTGGATGTCATATTTTTGTTTAAGTCGGCAAAGGTTGTTATGACAAACCCCCTCCCCCACGTGACACCTACTCGCGCCGGCCCTAATTACCTGTGGCTTTGCAATTACCCAGATTATAAACAATAATAGTTAACAGATTAGTTAATTATATTTTCGAATTAGTAATAAAAAAAGTATAAATTTATACTATCAATTAACAACAAAGATAAAATAATAAACTATAGCATGGCCTACTATAATTACACGGCCTGATTTGTTGCATTTTCCGTAAAAAATTAAGAGGCCAGTTTTTTTACGGCTAACGTTTGAAAGCTTGAATTCTTCTGTTAGTATTGTGAAAGTTTTATACATATTTTATTAAAATTGGAAAAAATGACTCTGATTTTCTTGGTGTAGTTACATTATGTTATACTGGATTTTTCGCTAACTGATTGCCTGCTTTAGTTTATTCCAGTAAAATAGAATACTGAAATAGGCTTTCAGATAGCTATATATAAACATGGTACTTAAAATAACATTACATGTTGCAAAGACCATCTACAAATCTTTAGTGGAAATAAAATCAAAGGTTTGTTATATTGTTTTTATTATAATTGAATCAAACAGTATAAAAGAAATAGCTTTTTATTAGGAATTATTATTGGTTCTCTGTCTTTTTTTAAATTGTTTCACCTGATCTTTTCTTACTGAATCAGTTGTTTCTTTTTGCAAATTGTTATAAAAGATATTTATAACGATAAGAGATCCATATTTTATACCCAACTCTTGGTGATTGTCACAAGTAAAATCAACACTGCTGTAATAATTTTTAAAGATTTGTTCTGCAAAACTTTT